AAGATCATCCTTCTTGAACCTTTGTGGACTGTTACTACAGAATCACAAACAAAGAACTGTACCAAATAACAGAAACCACATCACTTGAGGACTTTCAACAGCAGCAACAACTAAAATGGATATCACATGTAAGTCAAGGAGAAAATAATGAAGCCTTAGTGTCATGGCAAAGATCATCCTTCTTTGAACCTTGTGGACTGGTGCTACAGAATCACAAACAAAGAACTGTACCAAATAACAGAAACCACATCACTTGAGGACTTTTCAACTAAAATGGATATCACATGTAAGTCAAGAGAAAATAATGAAGCCTTAGTGTCTTGGCAAAGATCATCCTTCTTGTACTCAGGAATCTACAGAATCAAAACAAAGAACTGTAAAAATAACAGAAACCACATCACTTGAGGACTTTTCAACAGCAAAAACTAAAAATGGATATCATGTAAGTCAAGGAAAATAATGAAGCCTAGTGTCATGGCAAAAGATCATCCTTCTTTGAACCTTGTGGACTGGTGTCACAGAATCACAAACAAAGAACTGTACCAAAATAACAGAAACCCATCACTGAGGACTTTCAACAGCAGCAACAACTAAAATGGATATCACATGTAAGTCAAGGAGAAAATAATGAAGCCTTTAGTGTCATGGCAAAGATCATCCTTCTTTGAACCTTTATGGACTGGTGCTACAGAATCACAAACAAAGAAATGTACCAAATAACAGAAACCACATTACTTGAGGACTTTCAACAGCAGCAACAACTAAAATGGATATCACATAAGTCAAAGAGAAAATAATGAAGCCTGAGTGTCTTGGCAAAGATCATCCTTCTTTGAACCTTTGTGGACTGGTGCTACAGAATCACAAACAAAGAACTGTACCAAATAACAGAAACCACATCACTTGAGGACTTTCAACAGCCAAAAAATAACTAAAATGGATATCACATGTAACTCAAAGAGAAAATAATGACGGAACCAAGATATTGACATTCAACAATACTTCGAAAATAAAACAAAAGGCTAGGAAGGAAACCACGCATCAGTAATGGAAAGAGCTATAACAGATACTGGACACGAGAAACCTGTTTTCCTGAAAAATTGATTCAAGAGAAAGATTTTATATATTGGTGCATAGCTTAGTTACAACACATTTAACATAAGAGATAAGGAAATTGAACATAGAATAGGCTGTGGGCTTAGCTTCGTCCAACAACGAAAATTGCGAGAAAATCAAAACACTAACGCGAAATTTCATATTCATAGCTTTTTTATTTATGTTTACAGCGAGGGTCAGTCTTTACAAGGCCCGGGGGCGCTCGAGGTAGAGAGTTACGTTTGAATATAGGAGTGGAAGATAACGGTTAATCTTAGCGTTGAACAGGTTAAAATTTTAATGATTGAGGAAACGTCATTTTGGGATACGGTCTCACAGAATAGTTCTCGCGGGAAGAAGCTGTTCGGTTGGAACTTGCTTCTCACTAATGGAATATGAAAGGAATGAGGAGTGGGGGTTGCTACAATGTAAGTGGCATGGCAGATCCTAGCTGTGAACAATTGAATCGTGGGACTAGTTCATCCGAGCACTTTCCGTTGAAGTAGCGAAGAAAGGCTTGTCACATCCCGCCTGTGGGGGAGATGTTGAAGGGTGGAGAATAAGTGTTCGGAGACGCTTTTGAACTCTATCAAGACTAGGGGATGAGGTCTGAGCAGCTTCCGCCAAATATGACATCAGTAGTCCATTTTGGGCCTGATCAGGCTCTTGTAAAGGTGGAAGCTAGCAAGAGGTTGCAGGTACCTACTGGAGTGGTACAGAGAGCCAAAGCTGTGATAAGAATAATCTCGAACAAACTCTTCGAAGTCTTCCAGGAGAAAAAGATAATCCTTTCCAAAATAGAAATGATCTCTGGAATTGGATTAAAAGCCCTGATGGCAACATACCTCGAATCCATCATAAAAATTTCAAGATTTGGAATTAGTAAATACTAAACACTTCAAATACCTCAATGTGTATGGATTGGTTATAACAAATTTAGTAGATGTGATAAGGAAATTGAACATAGAATAGGTTGCACTAGTTGTAACTCTAATAAATCTAAATAAACCTAATAATTCAAGTCATTTCTTAAAGAGCCTGGTCAGATGAAGAATTCAAATCGATATGCATGGCCCTGAACTCTTTTAAAAATATTTAAACTGTTAGCTGTTTTCAACCACTTTATCTGAATGGTGGAAGCCAATAAAACTGGTAGGTTTTAGCATGGGTCATCCTTTGTTCAATCTTGTGGACTGAAACTACAGAATCATAAATAAAGAACTTTACCAATTACTGCAAAAGCAAAATAACTCTAATAATTTAAGTCATTTCTTAAAGAACCTCCTCAGATCAAGACTTCAAATTGATATCATGCATGGCACTGAACTTTTTTAGAGAAACTTTTAAAAAATAGAAACTATGATCTGGAATTGGAATAAAAGCAATAATCTCACGTACATCAAATCCATCATAAAAATTCAGCATGTGAAATTAGCAAATACGAAACAAAGCATGAACAAAAATTCAAAGTAATTTTTCATACTAGGTACCTCAGCTATTTTCATTGGAGAAGACCATATGTATAAGCATATACCTTAGAAATGGATCGAAAGTTTTATTAATAGATTTAGTGTCCATGTTTAAATGTAAATCACAGAACTGCCCACTATACAGAATTGATAAAGTTTGTAATAAACAATGAAAAGAAAAGAAGAGGGAAAAACCTTATATGAAGCAACAAAGAATATATGTAAAACAAAGCAACAGTAATAAAGCAAAACATTCATAAACTAAGAACTGGTGTTAGTACACAAGGGAATTCGGATAAATGAATGTAATGTTCTGACTTCAAGACAAGACAGATTGGGACTGAATCAGATGAAACCGAGAAGTGGCCTCTTTTATTGGCTAGGAAGAAATCCCAGCATGATTTATTTCTAATTTATTTATTCGAAAATGAAAACAGTTCTTCTTTGAAAAAAAAATTCTTATGAACATTTCCTGTTTCAAAAGCAAAAGATGTTTACACAAATGATCTTCCTTAGCGAAAATCATCAACAGTTTAAAATACTGACTGTTGAAACTTGAATAAAGCATGGAATAATAATAATACAACACAAAATGTACTTAAACAAAATGTATTGACACAAGAACGTGTACACAGTATTTACAGATAGTTTGGTATATTCTTGGGAAGACCGTTCCTGTAGAATGGGTTGACATTAGTCACAGTCGGGCAGAGTCTCTGGTTGAATCTCTTGATTCCTCCCTCTCTTCCCGGTACCAACCATATTTATATGGTCGGTACTCCACTATGTAAATTAGGTGGATCCTACCACAACACTGACAATGTTACTTTCACTTACAAAATTCAAGAAACCTGGTACTTAAATTTTACTTGTAAATTTAGTAGTGCTGATAAGGAAATTGAATACTGATGTGGTTTTCACTGACAATTTAAGAATTTCTACCACACCCCATACGAATCGGCCAATAGAAGACAACGATCTCGCTTTCCCTCTTTAGACCAATGTATTAATGATAAGTAAGGCAATGCTGATGACATAGGTATTCATAGTTGAGATAAGAGTGATCTTTAACTGAAAATAAACCTTCTCCACCAAGTGGTCCATGAAATAAGACTCAAAATAAACATTCTAAAATAAAAACCATGAACTGGAATTGGAATGAAAGCAATAATGGCACCGACCGTAAATCCATCATAAAAATTCAGAACGTAAAATTAATATATACTAAAAGTTTTAAATAGCTCGATGTATGGATCAGTCGATTGGAGTTGGGATAATCGACTCAATGCGAACGATCCTTTCCTTTAGTTGCATAGTATGTGCTTCGCCAGGACTACATACAGTTTTGGATTCAGAGTTTTCCTTCTCCTATACCGGTTGCCATCCAAGGCTATCAAATCCAGTCTGTTAAGGAGTCAGCTATAGTTGGGATCATCGAGTCAATGCAAACGATCTTTTCTTTAGCTGCTCCCATGAAAAATAAAATTTAAGCACAAAATGACCCATAAGGTGTTGATATACCGTTAAACAAATCAATTAATCTGAAACTTATGCCATTTTCTTAAGTCTACTCGCCTGACTTAAATATTGGCGCCATGCAAAATGCCTAATCCGTTCAGAAATATCTAAACTGTCAGTTCTATACAACTGTTTTATTAAATCAGTGGTTAAAAATAGCTTTGAGCCCATGAAGTCTGTGTGTCTTCCTGAAGAACACACTTCTTTGTGGGTTGTGAACTGGCGCTACATATTCTCAAACAAAGTACTGTACCAGATAAACGAAGCCGCATCACTCGAAGACTACCAACAGCAGCAAAAACTAAAATGTCGCTCGAAGAGAAAATAATGATATAATGAAACTGTAGACCTTCCACACGACTTCAAATAAAAGGTTAGGAAGGAAACCCCCATCAATACTGGAAAGGGCGATAACAGCTACTGGACTTGAGAATTCTATTTTCCTGAAAAATATTTACGAGAAAGAATTCATAAATTTGAACCGACATTAGGACTGGCGGCTTGGTCAATGAATGCTGAAAGTTTCCTTATAAGATAACGGCTAATTTGTCATTATTATTACTTGTTCTGTCTATAGAATTCTCATTATCCTTTTGTTGAACCAAATTTATGTTGCCCTCAATTTTCTCTTCGTATATGACGTCATTTTTATTAGGACGACGATATGATAAATTACAATTTCGCTATACCCTTGCAGTCCAACACCAACTGTTGGTTTGTAAATATCTATCTCGATTTAAAGGCAACCTTTTCCTTGTTCGTCTTACTATCCTGTTTTTTTTTTTGACGCGTGTAAATTATTTCTTTTCTAATTTTAAATTCTTATTTTAAATCCTCTCTTCAATGTTTTTTTTTTTTTTTTTTTTTTAACCACTTCCTGTTGGTTAGTTGGCGTTTTCCGTTCTGTCCCAGACTGTCATGCTTTTTCCATTTGCCTACGCTGTGTTCTTTCACAGCCTTTCCAAGTTGACTTCTACTGTTTCCCGTGTCGTAAGGATGCTCTGCTGATAAATCCAAAGTATTACGCGGACCAAAAGTAAAACAAAACATGATAAGCAAAGCATCCTATCGTCAGCACTAATGAATTCCACAGTCATTTGAATTCCCGCCCAGCCCCGATATCCCATGATGCAATTTCCATTATCTGCGTTTAAGTACTTCGAAAGAGAAGATAGCTGCTATACAGCCATCTCCGTTGTGACTCAGCCCGGTGAAAAATAAAAATAATGGGAGACTAATTAAAGCAAGAAGTCTTGTCTGAATATATGTATAGGCTGGTTGCAAATGCTGTATATTAATGTGTAAGGGTGTGAACGAAAGTCTACACGACTCTAACTGATAATAATAATTAAAATAAATCGATAACGAGAATGTCGATGACGTTGAAGTCAATGAAAAATTGAGAAATATAGAAATCGGTACGCTATTGATTAAGTATTGAATTGTTTAGGGAATAAAGAATCTGATTGCAGAAGGATTGTCTGCTTCCTTTTTATTTTCCCTTCATTGATTTAAATTGTTTTTTTTTTTTACTTTTTGGTTTATTTTTTTCAAGATGGATTCCTTCCCGCTTATCTTTGACTCTTTCTTACTTTGTCATCATTTACTTTTGTCATTCTGTAATCGTAAATTCAAATAAGTGCACGAAATTCCGACGTGAAAACAATATTTAAAAGAGACTTAATGAGCTTTCTTTCGTAGATAGGTTTGCCTATCGCCCATTTCACATTCCTCCTCGGTTTTTTGTAACAGGAGTAAAGCTTTATCCCTCGTTTCCAGTTTAGTATTGGGTTTCCGGTTCCTTTAAAAAGTTTACTTCGGCTCAATACTTCTAACGTCTCCGTCTTGGACTTTGAACTTGTATTTACTATTTGTTTATATTTTAAACTCAATAGGAGTAGATAGATTTGCCTATCGCACTGTTCAAACTCCTCCCCGGTCTTTTGTAACAGGAGTAGAGTTTTAACTATTGTTTCCTGTATAGGATTGGGTTTCCGGTTCCATTGAAAAGTTTCCTTCAACTTTATACTCCTAACAACTCCGCTTAAACTCAAAAATATTTATTTATTTTCTTCGTTCAGTAGGAGTAGATAGGTTTTTTGAATAGGAGTCGAGGTTTATCCCTTGTTTCCTGTTTAGGATTGGGTTTCCGGTTCCTTCTAAAGTCTACTTCAACTCTAAACTTGTAACGTATCCTCCTAAACTCTGAAATGTTATTTATTTGTTTTCTTCCTTCAGTAGGAGTAGATGGGTTTTTTGAATAGGAGTAGAGGTTTATCCCTTGTTTCCTGTTTAGGATTGGGTTTCCGGTTCCTTCTAAAGTCTACTTGAACTCTATACTTCTAACATCTCCGCCTAAACTCTGAAATGTTATTTATTTATTTTCTTCCTTCAGTTGGTATATATAGGTTTTTAGAATAAGGGTAGATGTTTATCCTTTGTTTTTTGTTTAGGATTGGGTTTCCGGTCTCTTCTAACGTCTTCTTAAACTTTGAACCTGTATTTCCTATTTATATAAATTTTACTTCCTCAATACGAGTAGATAGTTTTCTCTATCGTCCGGTTCTCATTCTTCCCTGTTTTTTTGAGCAGTTAGAGAGGTTTATTTTACTCTCTTCACGATTGGGTTTCCGATTCCGTCTAATGTATGTTTCTTTCTCTTTCACTTCCGGTGGCCTGTTTGCGTCTTAGCGCCATTATCATGTTGCTTAGAGTGGTTACTATTACTCTGTAAACCTCAATATCGCTGGGGCTCTTCAGCATTGTACAGGGTGAATATCATTTAAAAATAAAATGTTATTTAATAAAATTCAATTATTCTTTCGTTTCAAAAATTACACGACTTCTGCCATTATTTATAGATCAGATTCAGATTAGACAAAAAACGAGCCATTCCAGCAATATCTGGGGCGAAGAGGCTTAAACTTTACTCTTAAGTTATGATAGAGTTCAATAGACAAATATGGCTAGATTATATTGGAGACTAGATGTATTTATTTGGTTCAGGATAGGTAAATATCCTTTGTTTATGTTCGGCTCTATAATTATTTATGTTTCAGGGATTTTTAAATACTAGTTGTTTATATTTGAGTCTTTTTACTTCGTCGGGGATAGGTAAATACTGCTTATTTTGTTCGAGACTATACACATTTACTTACTTTGGGAATAGTTAAATCTAATTCTTTTATATCTGAGTCCATAAGCATTTACTTACTTCTGGGATAAGTAAATATTGCTTGTTTATATTTGAGTTTATTTTCTAAAGTAATTGATTTTTTATTTATTAATCCAACAGATTTTTTCACTCTAAAAGTTATTTGTAGTGGATACTCTTATTTGAATAGACGCTCCGTTTATTTAACAGTATATTTATTTATTTACGTTTCCTGTATACTGGATATTGATCTTTAAGCGAAATCATTCTCGTCATAGATTCTCAAAATATACCTATTTACTCAGTTTCATATCCAAACGTAAACAAAGCAATTTCCTAAAGAAGTAATGGATGTTTTATTTATTAATGCGACAGATTTGATCACCTTAGACGTTATTTGTATTGGATACGCATATTTGAATAGACGCCTAAAAATGTTTGAAATTATGAATATTTTAATTGGTACGGCGGATGAGTAAATATTGGTCGTTTATATATAAATATTTTCTTGGTAGATGTCAATATTTTGTTGGGGAGTTACCCCTTGATGAATTCGGCGTTTTCTCGGCCTCGACGTTTGTACAATATTTATCTAGACAGCTTTCCCTACTATGGCTAAAGAACCCAGTTTGCCCGATGAAATATGTGAGTTTGAATTCAGAGTTTCTCTTCTACACAAGATGCTATCCTAAGCTATAGAGCTCTGTTGTCCCTGTTATTTAACCAAGATCTGGAGAAAAACGAATTCTTTCATTTTCAAAGAGCATTAATGAAACTAAAAGAAACTCGTTCAGAATTTGATCTCGGTACGCCACCGACTTCAGCTCCACGCATGAGTCAGAAATGAATGCTAATGACACTGATTGAATAAAGATGATTATAGTTCGGGAGTGTGAGATCTGGGTTCTGTGTTGGACTAACGCCCCTAAATCTGATCAAATGTTCGGAGATCAGAATTATATATGGAAAGGTTTGATGGTCGGTCCAGGATCTCACATCATTTCGAATAAATCTTTCTTTTTTGTCTACTTTTCAGTAATCATCATCATCATCTCTCTCTCTCCCCATCTCTCTCTCCTTTTCTACTATTTTCCTTTTTCTTCTGATAATTTTTCTTTCTTTCTTTCCTTCTAGATTTACATTACTTCTTCTTTCTACTTCCCTCGTTTTCTTTCTTTCTTTCTTTCTTTCTTTCCTTCTTTCTTTCTTTCTTTTCAACATCTCCCCTGTTATCTTTCTTTCTTTCTCTCTTCCTTCCTTCCTTCCTTCCTTCCTTCTTTCCTTTCTTTCTTTCTTTCTTTTTTCTTTCTTTCTTTTCAACATCTCCCCTGTTATCTTTCTTTCTCTCTTCCTTCCTTCCTTCCTTCCTTTCTTTCTTTCTTTCTTTCTTTCTTTCTTTCTTTCTTTCTTTCTTTCTTTCTAGCTATTTTTCTTTCTCACTCAGTCAGCATTTTGTTTTATCTTTCTCGAATTACATTACTTTTTACTTTCTTTCTTTTTATTTTCTTTCTTTCTCATCTTATTTCCATTCATTCTCGCATCATTCATTCTTTCCTCCTTTCTCATCCTAATTCATTTCTTTCTTTCTTTCTTTCTTTCTTTCTTTCTTTCTTTCTTTCTTTCTTAGATTTCTTTGTCTTCGTTTCTCTTTCTATGATTCCTTCTTTCTTTCTTGCCTGATTTGCATTCTTTCATTTCTTTCTTTCTTCCTTCTCTAATTCATTCATTTCTGTCACAATTTCTTCTAAAATGCCATGTCAGAAAAATTACATTGTTGTCAAATTCGACATAACAGTGGGACTGCAAGTAGCGAACGGCTCCCTGGCCAATTCAGCGTACGTGACACACCCCTGCCCTACAGATCCTATGTCCCTTCCACTAAATGTGGCATATGTCCAAGTGTCACATACCACCGATAATATTAACATAAAAATAATATTGACTGTCCTGTTATTCTCAATGATCAAACTTATCTTTGATTGGTACAGAATCGAACTTTAAATGCAAAGGTCACTATTATTTTACAAGATTGCCCCTACCGGCAAAATAGCCCAATATTTATAGAATTCTGGAATTGCATAATACAAGCACACACACACACACACACACACACACACACACACACACACACACACACACACATATATATATATATATATATATATATATATATATATAAAAATGAACATTGAAGTCAACACTTAGAAGCGACAGGCGGTTTCATGTTTTCCGGTACCTGACGATTGAGTCTAACATAAAACAGCCTGTCATCTGTATGTGTTGACTTCAATGTTCACTTTTATATTTACACGCGCTCTATCCCATAAATATAGCACACCTTAAGACTATATTTCTTCATATATATATCTATATATATATATATATATATATATATATATATATATATGGGTTGCGATTGATAACATGTAAATTGCGCAAAAATGAAAATTACACTGACATTTCATTTTAATAGATATATTTACTCAATTAAATCGCCATTACCTTCAACCACGGCCTCCAGATGATTTCGGAACCTCCTACATCTCTTCTGGACGGTCTCCTTGTTTAAGTTGGTGAATGCTGCCATAATCCTTGCCTTCAGTTCATCTTTGCTGTTACAAATGTAAGGGATGATGTGGTCTGGTGAAATTGTCTAACAGCCATGACGGGTTCTCTTTATTGTGTGGCATGGTGCAGAATCCTGTTGCCAGACATAGGGCTTTTCTAGTTAGCCACCCTCTTGACCCAGGGAACATTACCGTCTCAAGGCTCTATGTATGCCGTCGTGTTGAATCTGAGACCTTGTGGGAAGATGACTGAAGGCATAACGTCGCCATCACTAGTGATCACTCCAGACACCTTCGTAATCACCATTAGAATCATCCAACTCTTTACGAATGCTCTGCACCGTCCTCAGACTGATACTCAAACAAGACTGAAATGTTTCTATTGGGAGCTTCCAGCGCGAATGCCAAGCAGTAAAGCATGCCGTTTCCAAATTTCTGGCCGAGCAAATTGCGTCAAGGTGGTCTTTCTCTCATAGACAGTGCCCAACAGACCTATTTACGCATTGCACCCTGTATATACAAACGAACACACCCACACACACAAGACACACTCACACATCCAAACACATATATGATGTATATTTTGGCAATAACCCTTTCTTGTAAACATGTTTCATTGAATATGACAAAGACAATTTATTTAATATGCAAAGAAACAAACACACACACACACTATATATATATATATATGTGTATATATATATATATATGTGTGTGTGCCTGGTGTGTATGAGTGTTTATATATATATATATATATATATATATATATATATATATATATATATATATATATATATATATATATATATATATATATACCCATGGCATTTTTTCTAAACCTAAGCTAAAACACCAGACAGCTCTTTCAAAAGAAATTTTGGAAATTGAAGGAAAATGTTTGAGCCCACAGATAGTTTAGAAGATTATTAGTTCCGCATCATGTACTCCTAATATTGTTACAGATGTGTGTCCTTATGTGCAGAAGCAAAAATACAATAATATTTTACAATGATCAAAGCCAACTATTAAATTAAAGGAATGAATTAGTCTAAAAATGTCGAAATAAAAACAAATTCAAATTTCCATAATATACGTTTAACTTAATTAACTACTATATTTCCATAATATTCACTCCCCCCTAACTATTGAAATGTCCAAAGTATAACTAATTCTAATTTCTATATTTCCCCTCCTCTATAACCTCTTTACACCATATTAATTATAATTTATAAACTTTCTCCTACACTAAGATCTCCCAACTCTCTTTACATTAATCTCTTAAATCCTCATATCTATATATTTTAAAGTTATTTTTAGACATCTTTTTATTCCTCTTTTAATTTCAAACTAATATTTCATTATACATATAATCCCAAATTAATGTCATAGGTTAATATTCGGACTTAAATCTATAAAAATTATTCCCTTTAAAACAAATACTTTCCACTCTCCCCTGACCCCTGTCTCGTGCCTTTCGTCTGAATGAAACATTGAAATGGATAAATTCTGTCTTACTTTTTCGACTGATTTTTTTTCTTTTTTAGCTTGCACAGTTAAATTACTATTTCTTACACGAACTGAGTCCACACCGGAGTTAATAAAACAAACTACTATATCTTCGTCTCCTGAAATAGTCTATTGCCCTTATGACGTAATTGTAGATTTTATTTTTCATTAATATATATATATATATGGGACTCATCAGCTGTGCGCATCCACTACCGAAAATTGAAACCCGAACAGTTGCGTTATCAGGCAAACGTCATACCAACTGGACCAAAGAGCCTCAGTAACGGTAAGAGATAGCGAATTAGACTCGATATACCGCCGCTTGATCACATATTCCATGGTGGAACTCATCCGAGTTTCACTTTTACTCATAGAACTGTACCCCCACCAGCCACGACTACTATCCCCAATAACATGTCCATAACGAGTAGTCCTACAAAGAAAGATTGTGCCTCTGACAAGAAGTAACTGCAATTCTTTTTTCTAAATTTGGATAAAAAATATATATATATATATATATATATATATATATATATATATATATATATATATATATATCCATTTAAATGGTTCGTCGAGGTGGTGAATATAACATCAGTCAGCAAAGTGATAAATTTTATATTTGCAATTATCATGTACATATATTCATACATATACAAGTTTCATTAAAAACGACCGATAAGTTACTGCGATTAAGTTTTTTATTTAATTTTTTGTGTGTTTTCAGAATGTTCTTCTTTTCTGGACATAAATTATGTAGAAATTGTCCGGATGTCTTGCATGTTGGATCACTTTCGGCTATACTTTTAGTCATTATCAAGGACGATTTTAGTTTTACTTTTAACTGAATGTGTGGATTTCTATATAATTTGCGTCCAGGAATGAAGAAAATTAGGAAAAAAACGAAAAATTAATTAAAAATTAACAGCAATAATTTATCAATTGTATTTAATGAAACTTCCATAAAAGAAGGTTTGCTGCCCAAATATAAATTGTACACACACACACACACACACACACACACACACACATATATATATATATATATATATATATATATATATATATATATATATATATATATATATATATATATATATATATATATATAAACATTATGTCTGCATATTTTTATCATAATCCTTCCATATTCACGGATATTCATTTTAATAATCAATTTTATTGTACTTTTCCATCTTTATCTGAAAGTACTTGGGGTATAAAAATGATTTTCACGGTTACAGTACATTTCTTGCATCATTTGATTGTAATACACACGGAAAAATATCCGTGGACATGAACGGATTATGCTAAAAATAAGCAGACATAATGTTTTTAATTATTTAATCTACATGCATAAAAAGTGAATCTGCTCCCTCACACACACACACACACACACACACACACACATATATATATATATATATATATATATATATATATATATATATATATATATATATGAATTAAATAAAGTGATATGAGCAACTATACATACGCCCGATTGCTTTTATATATACATCTAAAAATATGTTAATTTTTTTTTTACAGTTTCTTCAAAATATTTAAAAAGTAGCCTAGTAAGAATAACTCTAAAGCAGCCATATATCAGTTCAATTCTCATAGCTGTTCCTTACAATATATTGGCGAAATGTCCAGAGATGCAAAACACCTATGTATGAACATAAGAAAAATCTCCAATATGATATTTGATTCCATGTATTAGTTATAGACATAAATAATTTCAATTACAATTCGATATTTAAAAATGCTCTCCTTATTAAAAGAGAATCTAACTCACTATAAAGAAAGTTTCTCGAAAGTGCATTAATCGAATCTCTCCTAAACATAAACGTACACACCGGATTTTTTAAATAATTTCTATGTTAATAAGAAATTACATTCATTTTTCGTTGTCTTTGATCGGTCTCGGCGATTAGATTTGATTATTTTGTCTATGTGAATTGTAAAGACCCATAAAATTATTACAGGTCTTATCTCTGGGACCAATTCTGGGTGATGTTCATAATAATTTCTTGCTGTTTCCTTCATGTAAAAATTGCAGATTTTCCAATGTAGATACTTTCCCACCCTGCCATGTCGAGTTTTATATTAAATGCATACAAATATATTCTTCTTCTTATTATTATTATTATTATTATTATTATTATTATTATTGTTAAATTTTCCTCCTCGCAAGACAGATGCAGACAAATGTCGTAAAAATAGAACAAAGGAAAAATTTCGAATTTTTAGATAAGCAACAAATGTTTTCTCCTGATAGAAACGAAACTATAGAGGATGTGTATTTTTAATAATAGCATTTCTATCCAATAACGATGACCTACTGACTTCAATATTTTTTCTGAGTTCTGACCGAAATACATTCTCCTGCATGTAATTGCTTAAATATATATAACTGTCCACATTCATGTCTCTGTGCGTATCTTCGTGTCTCTGCATGTCAGCCAAATTTGTGGATGAATATATATGTGTGCCTATTTTTATGATTTTACCTATGTATTCCGGTGCATAAATTAGCAGGATATTCAAATGTACCCAACCCAGCTTCCGTCTCAAAATCTTCATTGATTGTTTCTTTGT